GATGTCACAAATGTTATAACAAATACAGTGCAGATACTGAACTCAGGTCTTCAAAGATGAAGAAGAGAAATTAATCCCTTAACGTGAAGTCGTGATGGAGTCTACAAGCTTGCTAAGGATTTCAGAACAAGCTCTGAATATCTACATAATATATAACATAATATTTAAAATAGAGAAGCACAGATTTCTTCCTTATGTTTTTTTCCTGACTCGTTTGTGCATACAGTACAGATAAAGCAAAGTTGAATTTGCAGGGGTTGTATGAAGGATTTAAATATATCTAAGAAACTACTAGCTTAAATGGTGGTGTAGATTTTTCTGAGACGCTACTAATTATGATTCATTGTATCACATTCTTCAAAGATAGTGCACTTTTGGTGAGGTTTGTGAGTCCTTCTGTTCAAATAAAACATTGACAGCACTTGCAGAGAGTAACAGTGAATGAATAAGTGTGTTTTAAGACGCTTGACTGTAGAGTCAACTTAAGCCCTCCTTGCAAGGAGAGCCTCACTGGACGAGGCATTTTGGCAGAGAGAAGATGATACTTGTCAAGAACCGCTACAGAACTCCCAGCCTGGCAGCCCACCAAGAGCGCACCTCTTCTGGGGCAGCTTTGCTCCAAGGGCAAGGTCTGTTTGCATGCGACATGGACATTAATCTTTGGCTGGTGATAGTATTAGGTCAGGGAAGGAAAGAAAAAAGCAGCAGTGGAATGGGGACAACCACCAGTGGTGCTGGGACCAGAAGGCAGGTGCTGCCACTTCTGGAGTCCTGCCAGAAGGAAGCTGGGCCACCAATCCCAGGCTGACTTCAGAGAGGAAACGGCATCGCGGGAAGAACTTCATGGAAAAAATCAGAACTGAAGCAGCTGGATAAGAGGCGAACTGCTGTCTTGACTGTAATTTTGAGGAATATTTGACAAAGTAAGGGACATTTTTGCCTGCTTTTTGACCCATTTCTCAACAGTAGTGAATATGATCTGTGCTGTGGGCTGGTTCTTTCATGCACATTTTCATTTGAGGGCAGAGGACCCTGTGTTTCACAATTCCTAGGTTTTTTCCTGTGCTCTACTCATCATGCAATTCAGCATGGACACCACATGGGGAAAAAAGTGTAAACATGCAGCAGGCAATTTTTTTGTGGATTATTCTGCTGTAGATAGGTGAAACAAGGGCAACATATGCCAGATAAAGAACACTCATGAAGTGACAAGCCTGTGTGTATATGCATGAACTATTCCGACAAGGTGATAGTAACCAGGAACTAATTATTAACTCCCTTGCATGACCTGTCCTTGCATTTTGTTCTAATAAATATCTCAATAATACAATGTCTGTAGGTCATGCTATTGCATCTCAAAGAAGGCTGGGAAAGATGAAGATACATCTGTGATGCTTTATATGTCTGCATCCTACTTAAACTGTTTACTTTGCTCTAGATTGTAATTGAGACTTAGTAGTGGGTCACAATAACTTTGGATGCTGTAGAAGGTGCAGGTGCTTTGGAGTTCCTGGTGTTAATATCCACATCTTCCTAACAGAATGAACTGTAAACAACCAATGATTTTTTTAGGCTTGCTGTCAAACCAGATTAGTGCAGAACAGTTAGCAGAAACTACCAAATTTCAGCATTCATCATAAACAGAACTATTTGGGCGAATTACTTCTCACCTGAGAATACATCTCAGCGCTACTCCTCCTCTATGTTAATTTTCTCGTCAGTCTTAGGAGAGCAAAGAGCTCTAGAAAGGGAAGGTTTACTACTAGTGGCTTGGAAAAATATTTTTGTTTTCTTCTTGTGTATTTCGAGCAAGTTTGTATCTAGTCATACCTCAGCAGCCTGAAACGATGCTAAAATCACATAACTTCCACCTTCTGCTTCTATAGATCAAGCTCACAAGAGCCAGCGTTTCATTTACAAAGCATCCGTGAGACTCTTTCCACTGTTCTTAGGAGGGGAACAGGTGACAGAACAAACTTCAAGAAAGAGATGAAAGAGAATGCATCATCCAAGGAGATCAAAGCTGCAAAATGCTATCAAGACAAGCATTTCTGGGTTTTCCCCAAACACAAAACTGACCTGCTATTTTCATTGCTTTTCAGGACCATTTATCTCAGCAGACACAAGGACCCATCAAAGAAGTAACACACATGCTCGATGGATGAGAATTTGCAGGCGCAGCAGG